AGTCATAAGAGAGAAGGTCTATGTACTTAGATGGCATTTCAAAGAAAAACTTCGACCTCCTTCCATAGAAAATCGATGTTCAATTTTATTGTTTACCTACCTTTCTTTGGAACGTGATCTTGCATTTAAATCATAAAAAATATAGCTAAAGAATTATAAAAATATTGTTTTATTAAATGATGTTTTTTTTTGTTGCCATGTAAATTAAATCTATGGATTGGATACCTATGTATACATATAATATGATACAAGTAACTCCTGCATATCTTGTCCTATTTTTCTACGTTTGTTTTTTTATGAATTTTCTTATGATACTTGCAGTACCTCAGAGAATATGTGTTCAAAGTTTCATGATGATTGGTCAAGTAGCTTCAGTGTGAAGGCATAACAAACATCCCTACTTTCACATTTATATATTTTACATTTCATATACATATAAGGATAATATAGTGATAATATTGTAAGCATGGATGTAATTTTCCAAGTACTAAAGTATCAGTACAATGCCATTAAAAACAGGTATGCTATTATATATTGAGCAAGCGTTCTAACTAATGCTCAAACCTGAAACAGCGTGAGGGAAGAGGGCTTTTCTCAGCAGATATCGCACATAGGCTGATGAATTTGATTAAATAATCACGAAACTGAATTAATATCTAAAATTAACTTTACATTTCTGTAACCATTCACGATTGCTAAAGTTCATAACTTAGGTTAGGAGCGTAAACAAATTAGTGCTAGGTAGAACTTCAGACGGCGATGTCTAAAGTACTAAATAGATGTCTCAAGTTTAATTGGTCCCCAGAATTTTCATTTACAATTATTATTATTTTTGATGGGAACAATCTTCAAAATGGCGGAAATGTCCAACTCTTACTGAACTAGTTACCTACCTACATTTCCCACTCTAGACTATCTACCCTACCTTCCCGTCCTGCCTACTCTACCTGAGATACTTGACCTACACTACCTTCCCTACCTTACCCACCCTAATTACCTACCTAACTCCGAGTTCTCAGCTGCCTACCACTTTTTAGCCAAATCGGTTCAGCCGTTCTTGGGTTATAAATAATGTAACTGACGCGATTTTCTTTTATATAAATATAGATTTGAAGATTAGTACTCCGATATATTGTTTGGTAACAGAAATAATCACTGTCCAAGTCGAGTTTTTGTTTTGCAAGTAACCAATTAATTTTGCACATTTTTACATGGACGCAAAAAAAGGCTCAATTTTCGTTCCTTAATTACATCGGTTGAGGATTTTTCAGTGCTGAAACTTTGCCTGACATATTAAATTAAAGTAACGTAGTATGAATAAAAATATTTGCTACCAATATTTTGGGGTCATTTTTACGAACTGAATTTCTTTGGAAGGATACAATGTGGATAAGCCATAAGCACAAATGGGTCGGCTCGACCGGAGTGATACCACGGCCTCACTGAAAACTGGCGTGAAGTAACACTAACTTAAAGATTTCCAAGAAGAATTGGGCTTCCGGTAACCCCAAAACTAAATAAAAAAAAAACTCAAACTCAAAACAAAAAAGCTTGGGATACCGTCCACATCATTTACCTATAAGTATTATGTCCGCTTCACCAACAAGGTCTGTTGTTTACAAATAATTACGAAGTTAATTCAGTTACCGCAGTTTGAAGCGACTCTCATTAGTCATGAGCTGTCCAAGGTCACCACAGAATGACGAAAATGTTGAATACAAGAGTATTATCAAAGTAGTCATGATTCCAACCACGTAACAAACAAATTATACGGCTTTTAATGAACGCATAACCAGTTGTGGTTAACCTTTCTTTCTTCTGAAACCAAAAACAATAACACTACGTTCTTTCAAAGTGAAAGTCTTTGAAGTGTGTCAACTACTGTGTGGTAATTTTGACAATTTGTGAGGTGGTAATATTAAAATCGTAGGTCAATTGACAATAAAATGAAAATGAAACAGCCCGGCTTCGTACCTTGGATGTTATCATAAATATAAAACTTCCTCATCGATCATTCTATCGATTAAAAAAACAATATCAAAATTCATTGGTTTTAAAGATTTAAGCATACATAGGGATATAGGGACAGAACAGCGAATTTGTTGAATAAACGATTCTGATTCTAGTAAGCGATTCTATATGTCTATATGTATACTTCGCAAACGGATATAGAGCGCATACTAAATAGTATAAAATAAAATATTAATTCAAAAAGTTTAGTTTACAAGTAATATGTATTATCAAATATTATTTAATGAAATAAATAATATTTTGATGATGATTTAAAAAAAAAATTGGTTACAAACACCCTTTACAATAGGTTAGAAAAACTTAAACAAAATGGTCCAATATACATATTCCATGAAAATTGGAAGCCTTCAAGAACTCTAATAAAAGTATTTTTCCCAAAAATCCCTTGCTGTGGTTAATTTTCATTATAAACCTTCGGAGCTTTAATAATGATCGTACCCTAAAAGTTAAGTATTTTTTATATTAGAAAATTATGTTGGAAATTTAAGAATTATAATCTGTTGCCCTTGAAAACTGACCTTATTTGAGGAGGGTATAATCATCAAATGACTTCTCTCGTCCAGGGTATGGCAAGAGGAGTGTCTGACCTGACTCTTATCGACTAAAAACTCTCTCCATTCCATCTCCTGCTCAAAGCCGACGCCGTTGTACATGAATGCTCTATAACCTGATAGAAAACTAACCTAGAGTAACGGCATCGTGTACACATTGCTAAAGACAATAATTAAAAACGGCCTAATATATATTTTCAACCTTATAAAACCATCTAAATTTTAATAGACCTCTATTTAAATTCGAACGAAAATGGAACGTGACGTTATGAACTTACAAAGCAATTTACTCTGATCTTCTAGTTGTCACTTCCAATATTGAAGGAGTTAAGGAAGTTAACGAATTTTGATTGAGTGAAGAAAGTTTGACAAATTCATTCATCGGAAGTCAAAATAAATCGGAGGTCGGATTGCAATTAAGACGGGTAAATAACAGTTCAAAATATGCTAGGGATAACTTTCGGTTTTAAAATAGCTCTAATTAATGTTTGAAAGTAATTTTTGGCAAACATTTATTTGAATACCCTAATTCAATTTTAAAACCAAATTATTGACACAGATACGGATTTATGTGTGTACAAGGTAAAGAAAAACATCAGGAGGAAATCTGAACTTATAAATTCAAACTTTGTGATTTAAAATGTGATTAACACCTCAGACATTCTTCGTGTAAGTAGTTGGGCAAATTATATGCTGATAATAGGTATACTTTTACTGTCCACCAAGTTTAAGTTACAGTGGGCGTTCAAATATGAAAGTTTGCGTGATTGTAACCCAAATTAAATTAATCAAAACAGACGGCTTGGATAAGAATGATAGTTTTTCTGATCGGCTATAATTATTTACAGGGACCGTGATAATAATGATGCATTGTGAAAATAGGAAGGGAATAAGATAGTTATTTTATTTTTAAGAATATTAGTTGACACTCTGACTGAATTCCTTTTGCTCGAGTTTAATTCCTGATCTTATAAGGAGAAAGCAATTATCAATGAGCAATAAATAAAATGAATTCGTTTATAATTTATTATGATAATTTTAATGTCAAAGGTTGGGTTGGCCCGAACAGGCCCAGTCCCGGTGAATAAAACATCCGACCTTATCAGTATGTTTTGTGTGATAAGACGAAGATGACCAATAATTGTTATATTACATTATCACATTGAACACATACAGAGTGATTTATTTGCGTCTTTGTAATTTTTGTACAAGTTTAACGCTATTGCGATACTAGCAATTGTTGAAGCAGATGTCGGCTTTTTAATATAAAAAATAAAAATTTAAGTATCTAATTTTGTCTTTCAAAATTTGACAACTTTAATGTACATAATTTTATCTACCAGTTAATATAATTAAGGCTTCTTAATAAAAATTCAAATCACAATCGTGAAATTTTGTTAAGCTAACACTAGTTTAGAAATTTAATATATTTTATAAGTAATCACCTTTGTTATTAACTATACACACTGCGGGTCAAATCACATTAGCCTCAGACAAGGCGCAACGGAGCATTAATCTGAAATGTCACTTGGCAAATTAAACCTTATGTCCTCAAAGTTATTCAAATAATTATTCCTTTTGAGATAACAGCAAGACGCAAGATTATACGCAGTATAAGACTAAATACTTGTACGTAAAATAAAAATACCTATGTGTTTTGTCTCAATGGGATGGGTCGGCAAATGAGCAGACTGAAAACCTGATGGTAACAAATCAGTGCTGCCGATGAACACCCGCAAAACTAGAGTAAGTTACTAGTGCGTAATTGACCTGTGGGAGTTGAAATTTCAGGGATTACGGGAGGGTAATGATTAGATCAAGTCACTATGCGGAATTGTGTTGTTATTTTTCCGTGACATATTAGTACAGATTTAGTAAAAATAAAAACAATTTACCTACATGACTTGACTGAGAAAAGCTCTACTAGCTTGTCGCGGACGCTGCTCGTGATTAGGAGCCATGAGGGTGAGGGTTCGAAATCTGGCAAGTACCAATGTGACTTTTCGAGTTATATGTACTTTCTATGGTTATTTAGACACCACTGACATACGGTGAAGAAAAATATCGTGAGGAAACCTGAACTTATAATTTATAATATAAACTTATAAATCGCCAATTGGTCTTGAGCAATCGTTGTAATTAATGCTTAAAGCTTCTCCGTGTAAGAAGAGGCATTTGCTTAATAATTGGCACTTATAGGCTAATGATGTGTTAAGTGATGTGTGACGGGAAACTAGTAGAGTTTATCTCAGTTAATCCGAGCAAGTAAGTCGTTAATTTGATAAATTAAGTATGTATCAGGATAGTCAATATTCTTAAATTTTACAAAAGATTTATCAATGCACTTTCAGTCATAACAAACCTAACGAAAATTGTTCTTATATGTAGGTAGACAGAGTAAATATATATATCACTTACCTCCAAAGGTATAACAATGAATAGAACGATCATATCAGCAATAACTAGATGTGTCATTAGCAAATTGACGCGCGACTTTCGTCTGCGCGAGCGCATGAGCGACGCGAACACTCCAATGTTGCCAACCGCACCAGCGGCTAAAAGGGCACTGTACACGCCAACTACAAAACCTTGCTCCGGCGCAGGTATTGTAGTATCAACCACTTCAGTCACATTAACTATAGATGTCCCTTCCATACTGAAATAATCCCAAAATTTTTGATTGCAATCAACATCTACATCTTCAGGTTGATCGTCTTGAAACATTTTTTTATCTCATTTTTGGCACAAAATTTATTTTGGGTTTAAATCACTATTTTGTGGTATTTACATTTTTTTTATGATTTTAACGTTGAAGGTTTTACTGCTATTCACATGTTCACTAGTATAATTATTTTTTGTTAGTTTTTATTCACATTTTTATTAAACACTTATACTTTGAAACTTTAATTTACACTTTAGTTAATTAAACTGTGATTTAAATTATTTAAGCAACATTAAAAGCACACTTAATATCTCCACTTGATTTTTATTTAATTAATTATTATAAACATTTAATTTAAAAAATCAACAAAACCACTACACAATGGTTTAAAAATATATTTTTGATAAAATCTTGAACTACATCAACTAGGGTAATTATTATTATTTGTACACCAGTAACACCCGAAACCGAACTTAAGTTTACACGCGCGGAAGCCTACGAAATCTCGTAGCCGCTACGAGACGTCCGTTTGCCGTAACGTCGTAGCGCTGTGTGACGTAGACAGAAAATATCGTAGCCAGCCCATTCATACGTAGTTTTTCTCTCAATTTGTTACTGTTTCTGGAGAATTTTCTCATCGCGTAGAGATTCTTGTAAACTTTTTAAACATTCTACTTAATAATTAAATATCAAAATCTACGCCTTATTCTTATTTTGAAGAATACATTATTGCATTGATTACTGATTTAGACAATTTTATTGTTTGGTAATGATACCCAATATGTCTATAACTACAAAATTTTCAAATTTTGTTTTGTTTGCTTTTAAACAAAGATGATGTCCCACATTGGTATGTTCTCCTGTGTCGTGGGTGCGTTTACAAATATACAAATTCACATACACATCACACGCAGACCCGGAACAACAATCTGTGGATCACACAAAGAGTTGTTCTGTGCGGGAATCGAACCCACGACACGTTGCGCGGCAGCCAGTTGCCCAGCCACCGCATTAACCTTGCAGTCAAAAACATTAAATAAAAAAGTAAGTACATTTTCATTCTATTTGCACGAATAGAAACGTTAAAGCGATAGAAACCGCTAACTAACCTCAAACTACCACTTTCTATTTGCTTAAATCTTCTGTCGCTCTTCGCTCAATGTTTGAAGCTGTTTACTACTTAATAGGGCAATTAGTAACATAACTCATTGGTACCAGACTTTAAAGCTTATTTAATGTTGAATTATTTTATTTAAAGTATATTTCTTTAATTTATTCTTTATGTACACACGTACATTTGTAGACATAATCATATAGCGTCAGCCTATATAAAGGCCACTGCTGAGCGAATTATCCTTTCGCACGGAGAAAGTTTGAGCATTTATTACCACGTTTGCTCAATCCTGATTGACTAATAGATCAAACAAGCTTGTTGTTGTGTAGGTGTGATGTAAATGTAAAGTAGTATGTTTGTTGAAGATCCTGAAAAAAATCTGGTGTGCGTTTTTATTTTAAGATAGAAGATGCAAAGATTTCCTGTTTATATCCAGATTGCATATCTATCCAGGAATTATCCTCCACGTATCCCAAGTCCGCACGATGATCTTCTACTTTTTTGACTGCACTGTCTCGCGGTGGATGGGCTACTGGCCGCGCAACGTGTTTCGGGTCTTTTTTTTTTGTGAGGGGAAAATCATCAAATGACTTCTCCCGCCCAGGGCCGGGCAGGGGGGAGTGTCAGACTCTTACTGACTAAAAACCCCCCTGTTGCCTCCTGCTCTGTGCCGAGGTCGCGGTACCTCATTGCGCAACCCCGGCTGAACATCAGCCCTTTAGGGCCCCGTCTGTGGTGGTCGAATGGCTCTTTGAGGCGCGCGCGGAACGCTACGGTGTCATGTTTGTAAACGCACCCACGACACAGGAGAAAATACGAGCAACATTTATTTTCAATAAAAAAAAATTCGTAAGCTCGTTCGCCACACACAACTTATCACGTAAAAAATATCAATTTAATGACTCTGAAAGTAAGAATGACAGTTAAAACATGAAAAAGATAGCTTATTTTATATGTTATATAAGGTCCACAATGGCTATAACAGGTGTTTACCGGAAAAAGCTTAAAATTAAATGTCGATTATTAGTAATGAATCTGCTATACGACTGTTTTAAGATGTGTAGAAAAATTAATAGCAAGGTCATACATATACAATTATACACACAAATATAAGTAACTACTATGTTTACCCATTGAGGATAGAACAGAATTTAATAAATACCATGACCCTACACGGAAACTTATTAAGGGTATCATATAGGATACGTATCACACTCCTGCACAAGCACCTCAACATATTTATTCAATGGATTATCCTCCTTACTACATAACGACAAGGTTGGAAATAAATTGAAGACATTTGGTGGATTAGTATACTTTGACATGCTGATATCAGTATAAACAAACCTTGCCATTGACATCTAATACAATGAGTTGTTTGTTTGTTTTCGGACTATGATCATTATTGTTAAAGTTTCAGGTAGAATACGGCTTCATAAATAGTATTTACTTACGTTATAAAAGGGTTCTTGTAAGAATAGTAAAATAATGATTGCGCTAGATTGTTTTTTTATGTTATAAGTCGGCAAACGAGTAGACGGATTACCTGATGGTAAACAATCGGCGCCGCTCATGGACACCCGCAACACCAAATGAGTTACGAGTGCGTTGTCGGCCTTTTGGGGATAGGGGTTGCGGATATAAGGATCGGGGAGGAGTAGGGGAAGGGGAGGGATTGGGCCTCCGGTAACCTCACTCACACGGCGATAGACAACGATGTGGGTTGTTTTACGCTGGTATTCTGTGAGGCCGTGGTATCACTCCGGTCGAGCCGACCCATTTATGCCGAAGCTTGGCTCTCCCACAATTGATTGTGATAAATGTTTAATTTTACAAATACCTACGTTCAGCTGGGTTTTTTTTTGTGAGGGGAAAATCATCAAATCACTTCTCCCGCCCAGGGCCGGGCAGGAGGGAGTGTCAGACTCTTACTGACTAAAAACCCCCCTGTTCCTCAGCCCTTTAGGGCCCCGTCTGTGGTGGTCTAATAGCTCTTTGAGGCGCGCGCGGAACGCTACGCGCCGTACGCTCGGGCCTGGTTCTGGTCGGGCGGCGAGCTGCCCTTACTCGCCGACCGCAGACCCGTGCTTACTGTGGCCGGAGATCGTCCCTTGATCCCCGACGCCCGTAGTGTCGCCAGTTGCGGCAGCTGGGGCGTGAGGAGGAGGCTTGCTCCCTCACGCGGGCCGCCTCTCTCTTTGCGAACATGACTGCTTCACAAAAGGAGGAGACGGCGTCACAGTTCCTCTCATTCCGCACCATGGCCTCGACTAAGGCCGGGCGCGAGAGGTCGCCGCCGCCGATCACTTCCGGCCACCGTATGCTCCACCGTATCCTCTAGGTGGTACTCGCAATGGTGCAAGCGGTACACTGCAACATTATGGGACGGAGTGATTTTTAGTCAGTAAATGTCTGACCTTCCCTCTAGCCTCACTCAGGGGAAGATTCAGGATTAAATGTTTTCTTCTTTTAAAAAAAAAACAGATCATCAGGCTCGGTGTAGCTGTTTCGTGAAGTCAATGGAGACGCAATATCTGTCATTTAAATATTCTTTAAAAAACAGGTGATCGTATTTTATTTTTGGAGTTTGTTGGAACGCTCTAACTAAAGAATATTGGATAGGTATGTTTTGATCTAGTGATAAAAACCTGTAGGATATTTTTTAATTACCTATGACTCGAGTCGACTCTTTCACCTTATAGGTTAATTAATATTATTAGATTGAATTTTTATTTTATATATATATTATAAGTGTACGTCAAATTTAATTTATTGAAATTATTTTAAATTTTATTGTCTTAAATCAGTAATTAAATTCATATCTATAGTGATGATTTCCTTAACTTTTATAAGAATTACTAATAAGAAATATGTATAATTATTTTTTCACAATGCACACGGAACCATTGTTAAATAACTTTAACATTTCTTAAGTTTGTTAGTAATTTTGCAAGAAATAAAGGGCTTTTTATTTTATTTTATTTATTATGACTCGAACAAAGCCGCGGGCAAAGTGCTAAATATAAAGAAGTCACACAAATCTTACATTAACACGGTAAAAGGTATCAAAAACCAACATTCTATTCACGTTCACAAAGCGTAATTTTTTTTCTTAAAAAATACGTGTGGCGTGTGTGGTTTGTCATGTTTCGTCGTGTGAGCGAGGTTATCGGAGACTCAATCCTTACCGTCCCCTTTCGCAATCCTCAATTCCTCGAATCCCTAAATTACCACCAACCTCTAAAAGCTTCTCATGCATTCAGATCTTTCCTTCTGTAAACGGGATCCGATATGTATTACTTCCACTTTATGACCTTGAACGCAATATAAGCCATTGAAATTCCTCATGTAGAACCCTCGATTCTCTGTAGGTGAAATGTTTCTGAATTTTCAATGTGCAACTGGCTGCCGAACAACGTGTTGTAATTTCAATTTCCGTACGGAACAACTTTTTGTGTGATCGTTGTTCTTGTACAGTTGTCAAGTGCAGATTTCTTAACAAATTTAGATGCCCAAAGCAATTATTTATTACAGTTATTTCTAAAACCAGACTTAATCTTAGCACTGTATTTCTTCGGGTCTCCTATGTGGGCGCCGGCCTCGTGCGCTGATCGTATCCCAGAGAGTCATGGCAATTCGCATAATCTGTGGCTATCGCATAATCTCCGGAAAGGCGGCGAACCTCCTTGCCGGATCACCACCGTGGGATCTGAAGGCTCGGGTTTGGCTACTGTTTGCACGCTGTCATTTAGTTTCAAGTAGTTTAAAATAACATTTTAACGTTGTGATTGTCATTTAAACGGTGTAACTCCTCTGTTGTTTGCTATTGTCCGTGTGCGGCGGAGATTGCTAGGTTTATTTGCCACGTTGTACGATAAAAAAGATAAATAATTATGCATTTATTACACCTCGAAAATTTGTGAATCTCACAAGAGTTTTCTGCCGTGTTTAGAATTAAACCCGTGATAAAGATACACAGGAAAAAATCCAGGTGTTGGACATTTGAAGGGTATTTGCACATTCGTCGTTGGTGGAATTCAGTTTAAAACGCAATTTGGTTTTATGTTTTGGTTTGCCAGATTTTAACAAATGAATTTACTTGCCGAAGTAATTTACTAAAACCGGGCAGAACCACAAACTCGTTTATTAATCGTTGGCTCAGTCAGAATCATAATATGATTTTAATTTGTCCGCACGGTTGGTCAACTGGGCAACTGACTGAAGGGCAGGGTTGGTTGATTGCGGTTTGTGGGTTTTCCTTCACGTAACAAGTTTGTGTGATCCATAAGTTTTTGTTCCGAGTCTGGGTCGGATGAGTTTGTATTCTAGGTTAGTAAACCAAGCAAGAGATGTGAGGATAGCCTGCTATAGGGCAACTTTAGAAAAAAATGTAAATAGAACAATAACTTTTAACAATTGAGTGAGAACAAAATTATATTACAAAACTTAAATAATTCAAAGCAGAAACACAAATTACGTTCTCTCTGTACGTGATTTTCACTAGTTTTATTAATTTGACCCCATTACTGACAGACAGACAGCCAGACTAACAGAGCATATCACGTTAAACTGCTTAACACATGGCGTATGGCGATGGCGTAACAGTCGTTTAAAAGTCTAATTTACAGGAAACAAAATCAAATCAACGTTCGATTTATTTCAATAATTCTTTTATAGGTATGATAATACATTTGTAATAATATAAAAACAAACTGTCTAGTATTGTAAACACTTCCCAATTTTGACCATTTATAAAATGCCTATAGGTATAAAAAATATAGCCTTAAGTACTAAATTACAAAGAAATCCGAGAACCTAGTATCAGACACCAGCACGTTAAGTTACTACAAACCCTTCAATAAAATTTCAACTCTGCATCAAAGGAATAGAACTGAAAATATCTGATAGAAGTTTTTAAGTTTTGGGTAGTTTGTTGTGCTGGTACCCGCACAATTCACATTCAACAAAAAGTATTTATCTTAGTTACCTAACTCTTCCGTTGGAGCCTCAACAAATTCAATTCATCTTAATAGGATTTTTGAGTCATTTCGTTTTTCAGTGTAGTCGTAAATTAAATTTTATTAGACTATAATTTGACCCCATTACATAATCGGACCCGGGTACGTCCTAAAACTGCGACCAGACACCGAGGAATGGGGAGCAGCATTCTTTAAAAATTATCGGTGACCTAACTGCGCTCGCCAACCCGCCTGCCAAGCGTGGTGAGTATTGGCAAATCCCCCCCATATGAACTGCTCAGATAAAACCAGGCCCCCAGTCTCCGGCAGTCCCGCCGTTCCTGGCTACCGTGGTAGCGGTCAGGGTAACGGCGGGACACGGGGTGCTAAGAATCCCCGGAGGTGGAGAAAAGGCTACCACCCCCGACGACGACTGGCCCTGGTAACACACAATGTTCGCACTTTGAGGACAGACGAGAAGATTATTGAGCTGGAAGAGGCATTGGGTAGGTTGCGCTGGAGTATTGTGGGGTTGTCAGAAGTCCGACGAGAGGGCGAGGACACGATAACCCTAAGATCCGGCAACCTATTCTACTACCGGGAGGGCGAACAACTGTCCCAAGGTGGTGTCGGGTTCCTCGTCCACAGGTCCCTCGTCAACAACATTCTTACCATCGAAAGTGTGTCGAGCAGGGTGGCGTACCTGATACTCAGGGTATCCAATAGATACTCGTTGAAGGTTATCCAGGTTTATGCACCGACCTCGACACACCCAGACGAGGAAGTAGAGGTTATGTATGAGGACATAAGTAGGGCCATACATACTAATAAAACCTACTTCAATGTTGTTATGGGGGACTTCAACGCGAAACTGGGAACTCGAGGCGATAACGAGCTGAGAGTGGGGCAATTCGGGTATGGGCAACGGAACCACAGGGGACAGAGACTGGCTGAGTTCCTGGAGAAGGAGGACCTCTTTGCGATGAACTCCTTTTTCCAGAAGCCGTCTCACAGGAAATGGACCTGGATGAGCCCGGACGGTTCCACAAAAAATGAGATCGACTTCATCATGACAACAAAGCGACAGATGTTCAATGATGTCTCTGTGATCCATAAAGTAAAAACCGGCAGCGATCACCGACTGGTCAGAGGCACATTGAATATCAATATAAAGCTGGAAAGATCACGTCTGATGAAGTCTACGCTCCGACCTTCAAATGCACATATCGGTTGTCCCGAGAGCTTTCAGATCGAGCTATCGAATCGTTTTGAGTCCCTGGAGAATTGCGAGTCAGTGGACGAGATTAGCAACAGGTTTGTAGAAACTGTCCATGCGGTCGGGTCGAAGTTTTTTAGACCCCGCCGAAAAGACAGACCGCAGAAGCTTACCGATCGCACCCTCAAACTCATGGCAGAACGACGTGCTATGGTACTCCAGACCTCTGCCGATGCTAAAGCACATCGGCAGCTCAATAGACAAATATGGAAGTCCATGCGACACGATATCCGCAACTTTAACGCCAATAGGGTTAAAGAAGCGATAGAGCGGAACCAAGGCTCCAAAGTGTTCGCTAGGGACATGTCTATTGGGCAAACACAGCTGACGAAGCTGAAGGCGGAGGATGGCAGTGTAGCGTCGACGAAGGCCGAAGTTTTGGGTGAGATCGAGAGGTTTTATGGACAGCTATACACATCGGTCACTAGACCTGTTAGCTCAGTCGCCGATCCAAGAGCTAAACTCACCCGACACTATACCGAGGATATCCCGGACATCAGCCTATACGAGATTAGGATGGCCCTCAAGCAGCTCAAGAACAACAAG